TTTTTACGTATTATTTATCTTTTACAAAACACAACCAAAATTTCATTACAAAAACCTCGCTAATTCCTATTGCATAAACAAACAAACAAACAAACAGATAGATAGATAGATAGATAGATAGATACTGTAGATAGATAGATAGATAGATAGATACATACTGTAGATAGATAGATAGATAGATACATAGATAGATAGATAGATAGATAGATACATACTGTAGATAGATAGATACATACTGTAGATAGATAGATAGATAGATAGATAGATAGATAGATAGATAGATAGACCTTTCTAATTGCTGTTGCAAAAATTAATTAAAAAATGTTTTCAAGTAATGTATTTGTAATTATTTGTTATTATGTTTTATTTTTATTATTTTTTATTTTATTACTATAAAATAATAGTCAATGTCTCATGACGAAAACCTTGCTAATCAGTTGTTGATGGAATCGGTGCAGTAATGCAAGAGAACATATCTGATCACAGATGTGAATTTCTCATGTCACATGTACATTAGGCACGTATGCACACACAGATGAATGCGTTACACATTCCAGCACATGCTTCACTTGTTAACTAGACTCATCAGTTCATCACGTGTGTCCGTCCTGAGGGAACGCCTCGGCCCAGAACAATACTGTAGATAGATAGATAGATAGATAGATAGATAGACCTTTCTAATTACTGTTGCAAAAATTAATAAAAAAATGTTTTCAAGTAATGTATTTGTAATTATTTGTTATTATGTTTTATTTTTATTATTTGTAATTTTATTACTATAAAATAATAGTCAATGTCTCATGACGAAAACCTTGCTAATCAGTTGTTGATGGAATCGGTGCAGTAATGCAAGAGAACATATCTGATCACAGATGTGAATTTCTCATGTCACATGTACATTAGGCACGTATGCACACACAGATGAATGCGTTACACATTCCAGCACATGCTTCACTTGTTAACTAGACTCATCAGTTCATCACGTGTGTCCGTCCTGAGGGAACGCCTCGGCCCAGAACAACCAATCACGTCGCCGGAAGACACCAACCCATTCCCCGGAGGAGACGCTATTGTCCTCTGGCAGCGCTGACAGGTATTCATTAAACTCCTCGAACATCAGCAGTGCTATTATTTCCCAGCTTTGTCCCATTCAAACGACTCAGCGATTGTTCAGAGCCTATTGTGTAGCGATCTCTAGCTCACGCCGCACACGGTAATAACATACTTAGTCTGGCGTGTGTAAAGGCTGATGGGCTTTCAGCTGATGTATGATCTTTATATCATAAAGCAATATGTTCAGAGAGTGGATTGAAGTTAAAACAGTTAAGGGTTGAAATGAACTGCTGGGAATCTATGGCCAAATGTAATTAACAAGTTTAAATATCTATTAACAAATTCAACCTTTAAAGCTGAATAACTCAACTGTTTGAATAGAGACTAAAGCAGTTGTCATGCATTTTAATCAATCACGGAGAACATGAGGGCTTTGTAAGATAATGGCAGATTCATACTGATTGACAATATGGGCCGCAGCCATTTCAAAATAAAGGATTGGTAGTGTTTTGATGGAAAACGCTTGAGGTTTTGATGTTGACCAGCGCATCATTTGCTTGAAACTTGTCATCCAAACGCATGTGAAAGAACTGCGTCTGTTTGGAAAGATTCAGCGACACTGAAGGCATTGACAGATGAGCGAAAGCAACATACCTAGACAAGAAACCTTTAATCAAAATGTGAATTGCATGACGTAATTGCATTTGAATGTATGAAAATAAACTGTTCAATTTTCATCTATTACTATTCTATACTTGAAGTCAATATCTATGAAAGGAAAATAAAATTTGTCAAATTACAAGTTGCACAAAGACTTGCTGATGTGCAAGACAAAAACCTCCACAATGAGGAATATAGTTTTCTAAATAAATAATTTCCACTCTTTTCTCACTTCTTTCACTTTTTGGTCCAACACAAAGCACTGTGATACATGTGCAGTGCTGGTGCGGATGGAGCAGCTCGCAGCAGAATAACACACAGACAGACTGCAGCGGTGCAGATGCTTACAGTTGGATTTGACACGAGCGAGTGAGTGTCTCTGAATATGTTTGTCATGATGCACATGTGCGACTGCAGAAGCAATTGACAGACGGATGGAAAGAGAGAGAGCACTGAGAACCTTCAAACACACAGAGGGGGAGAAAAAGTGTGAAACTGCGAATAATCAGGACAGATATTTTGCATTGTATCTTCAAAGTCAGTGTGAAATATGTCCCATTACAGACTAAATTGGTATGTGAACAGCGTTTAACGTTGACGAGACAAACTTCAATCATCTGGAAATATCTTTTAACTAAAAACAGTTGCGCAGAGTACGTTCCTCTTTTCAGACTTGACCAGGCGTAATCTAATTTTGGAGCAAACCTGTGGCCCACTACAGGGTCAGACAGCTTTTGAGAGGGAGGCAGAGGCACCATTAGCTGCCTGTCAAAAGTGTGAGGAGTGGGTGGAGAGAGAGCGAGAGAGAGAGAGAGAGAGAGAGAGAGAGAGAGAGAGAGCGAGAGATGCAGCTCTGTGGGTGCTGTGTGAATAATCATTTGGCCGGCTTTCTTTGGCTGCTGCCATTTATATAATATGATGCCTTTTGTTGTATTTTTCAAGATTTGAAATAATCTGTGATCATATTAATCATTTCAGTAATTACATGGACGGGTTGGCACCAATTAACACATCATGTCAAATTCCTTAAAACAACATTTGTTCAGGTAAAAGAAAAAATAAGCAGACTGGACACTGTAAAAAATACAAAAAAATTAAAATAAAATAAATAAATTAGTAAATAAATAAATAAATAAAATCTTCTTAATCAGTATCTTGTCTTAGTTTTCAGTAAAAATATCTAAACTGCATTACAACAAGAAAAGACACAATTTCAATATAAAATTAAAGCTTGTTTTTAGTGAATGTTTCAAATCTTGAATTTGGATAACTAAATAAATAAATAAATACATTTATTTATTTATTTATTATATAATTCTTCCACAATCCACAGTTTTATTTTATAATAATGATAATAATAATAATAAGAATAATGATTATTATTATTATTATTATTATTTAATAAAAAATAAATAACTACATCTTTTTTGGCATTAACACATTTTTTTGGATAAATTAATGATTTTTTCCCCCAAGTCTTTTTTAAATATCAAAATAAAATGTTGTCTCAAAAATAATGCAGAAAAATGTTTTTAAAAATGGTCAATTTTATACTAAAAAAATCATAAATTGGAAACATTATCATTGAGTGATCAACTGATTGCATTTATTTAATTAAATAAGTTATAATAAGCTATAATAAATTTAGACATAATGACATCGATGTTATATGTACATTCACTGCAAGAAATCACTAGGAGGAAAAAAGAGAGAGAAAAATATAGGAAAGAAAAAAAAAATCTGCAAAAGGAGTGAGAAACAAATGACTAAGAATAATTGTAACAACAATAAAAATATATCCACCCATGTCAACATGAAATGAAATATGCAACCAATTTATTCCTGTAGCAAGATTTAAGCACATTGGGAATTTTATATTTTATTTATTTATTTATTAACTAACAGGGTTTAGTGACATCAGCAATTATTATTATTAATAAACATGTTTAACCTCAAAAAGCACTGCACTGACTTGTGTTTTTTTTTAAGCGACATATGCTTTCCATCCTAAAGAATTGCAGGGGGAAGAATGATAAAAAGCGAAGCTTAACTCACACAGAAAACGCTGTCTAGACATGGTCAAAAGCTCTCAGAGGGAATATGGAATATAATGAATACACTGGAAATAAAATGTGTGGTAGAGAAATCGTTCTGTCTCCATGGTGAGACTCATCAGCATGGGGTCTCTCATGAGAGCAGCCTCTCTCAGGACAAACACCAGCAACGCACTGCGGTTTCTGCAGATCAAGGCTTTGAAATCACACAAAAATAGCCATGCTAACCTGTGCCGTTTTGACAGATGATGATGCAACACGACTGTTTAAGGTGAGCCTGAAGTTAACAACACATCATATTGAAAAAAACGGTAGGGATGAGGGGGTTTAAGGGGGTCTGACCACCCTAATTAACGTTTTTGTTCTTTCTTTTGGCATTCAAAAGGATGAAAGGGTATTACATGAACTTATTGAACCGTTTCTTCAAACAGAAACATTTAAGCGATCGTCTCTTAGTGGCCTACAAACGCTTCTCTCATTTAATTAATGAGGTGCATGAATTACTTTTTAAACACTCCCATTGGAGGAATCTGCCAGTGGCCTTATTTCTCTTAACATTAACACGAGGAAAAACAAAACAAGCTTCCGTTGTATAACAAAAGATAGAATCTCCTCATCCTTGAGTCTCCTTGAGTTTCCTTGAGTTTATTATACTCCCTGAAACTCGAATTCCCTTAAAGAGGTCATATGATGCGATTTCAAGTTTTCCTTTCTCTTTGGAGTGTTACAAGCTGTTCGTGAATAGATACGATGCCTAAAGTTGCAAAGACTAAAGTCTCAAATCCAAAGAGATATTCTTTATAAAAGTTAAGACTCGTCCACGCCCTCCTAAAACGCCTTGTTTAAACACACCCCCACATGTCTACATCATTGTGTGGGAAGATTTGCATAACACCGCTCAAATGTTCACGCAAAGAAAGAAGGCGCAACTTTGATTCTCGCTGTAGTATTGTTGCTGCCGCCGCCATGTCGTGGAGACGCTGTGTTTCGTTGTGAAAGCGAAAATACTTTGTTTGGCCTTCCAAAAGAGGACACAACTAGAAATGAGTGGTTAAGTTGTATTTACAACACTGTTCCAGAACAGTTCAAACCAAATATTCGTGTGTGTGTAACCACTGATCTATAATAGAGAACTGGATTGCTCATGACGTCATGAAAGTGAAGCCGCCGCGCCGCCATATTGGTAATCCCCACTATTCCCATACATTCCATTGAATTAATAGGAAATCGTACAAATTTAATGGGAAAACATCACCTAACAAATCAGTGTTTTTAAATCTGAAGTATCTCTGTACATTCTTACAATGCAAACATCCTAGGCATGTAAACGGTAATTTTTTTTAATGTCGGGAATTTCCCATACTTATTAAAAAGCTACGTTCATTACAGTAGCGAACATCATGAACATGATAAACATCAGACGGACACGACCTCAACATATATAACAAATGACAAAGTGCTCATTCTGAAATCTGAAGAAAGATTTATGCTTTGTATACACATATACCTTTATTCGCCTTGTACAGTTAGAATGTTGCTCTTGTAGATTCCCTGAACCACTGGAAAGCAATTCTACTTCCTGTTTCTGACAAGTGCCTTTTTTATCCAACTAATATCAAGATCCTCAAGAAAAGTTATAGCAGCCTTTCCTCAAAAAGCCAAATGAATTGAGGTCCAAAATCGCTAAAAGTGCATTTAATTTTATCCAAAACAGATGAATGTAAATCTGACACCGTTTTAATTAATTATTGAGGCGGTTCGGAAGTGAAATGTCTAGTAAGTGGTACTAAAAGATTAATGTTCTATCATTTTGGAAAAAAAAAAAAACGTGCCAACTACACTAAACCACTAAACCTAACCGAGAGTGTTAACAAAAGCAAACGTGAGATTAAAAGGCCATTTGCTGAAGCAATCATACCATTTTAGATTGATTCTACAGGTCTTTAAGCTCTTTTGTCACTTATATTGCAGCTCCACGTCACAAGTGTAATGCTGTACGAGGTGCGCTACAGAGCAAGTTTACTACATCAGAAAAGCCATACATACAGAAGTATAATGCTGTACCAGGTGCGCTACAGAGCAAGTTTACTACATCAGAAAAGCCATACATACAGAAGTATAATTCTGTACCAGGTGCGCTACCA